TTTCGGGGACGGCACTGGAACATAGTGACCATAAATAATTTATAATAGCACATCATATAATTATTCTTATTTACCAAAATACCTCGTATGTCATCCTAATAAAATAGGAATCACTTGGTAAATAAAATAAATAAGAGATAAATATATATGCCTATTTTATATTATCTTATAGCTTAAGAGAACACATCAATCACTAAAGGTCTAGGTTACAACAACGATCAGTGAGTCTCATAACCTTATCCTTCCGTGGTCCTGTTCAACACTTAATATAAGTGCTAGTGTAATTCTTGTTCTTCAGTTAAAGATCAACTGAATCAAGAATATACTACAGTCTTTTTCCAAGAGGGGTCTCACTGCCTGTCTAGACTGTGAACGAATAGTTTAGTCTTGTAAGGAACTAATAGGTGATCTTTCTATTCGAAACACTTCGAACCACACTATCTCAATATAAGACATGGAGTATGATTTGCATAAATAAATAAACTGCAAACATATATACTTTAACTGAAACATGATGACCATACCAAAATGGAATCGATAGAATCTCCAAAACATAGCTTTTACAGCATATCTTTAACACGAACAAGCTTACTCGTTTCGAGCCGAGATCAATCAACTTCGCCCCTCTCGGTTTAAAAATCAATTAAGTAGATTTAGAAGGTGTTTAATCAACTAAACCATAAAAATAAGCACAACTCAAAACGATTGAACAATCAACAACACGTCATCATCATCGAACCGAAGCAATCATTTCCCTATCCCCTTAGGATAAGTTAGTTCATAGTGATTTTATCGACATAATCAACAATAATAACCCAAGCTATCGTCGTGCTTATAAAAAGTTACGATAACGTACAATTACTACTGAAAACTTGACGTCAATATATCACTATAAATTCAACTAACTAAGGAAAAATCACTTACAAAATCATGCAAAGATCATGCATGAGAAACCATTCTTGTAAATGATGAAGAAGAATAGAAGATAGGAAAAAAAAAATTATTTACAAGTCTTGAAATTATAACCTTGTTCTCTATTTACAAACTTGATTACATCTATTTATAGCTGAGAATTTGGAGTATTTTATAGCTATAAATTAGCTATAGGTATCATGAACCATAATAACATAACATCCCACCAACATGCCATTATCTTCAACATAATAGCTGTAGAAATCGACCCCTTAGCGCCGCTAAGGGGTACTAGCCGCGCTAAGGTGTCGGCAGCCTTGCATGTCATCACGGTTTTTGCTCTTTCCGCCTTTAAAGGGTCGGTAACTTGCTCGATTTTAAGTTTCGGCCCGGTTCGGATTCATCTGAACTCGAAATCGAATTCCGCTTTTTCTCACTTGTCGCCAACTAACCTCTCTAGTTAGTTGTTCTTGAACGATCGAGTTCTGAGCTTAATCCAATCCTCACGAGGTTTTCGACCTACACACCAAAAACAAGAATAAAACGAGAAAAATATATGAAAAAACACATGAAAAACCAAAATAGATCAAAACACATAATAAATCATAAAAACGAATAAAAACCAATAAAAAATCCTAAAATGAGGGGAAAAGAAGAACAAAACAATAACGAAAAATGCAACAAAAATAGTACAAACAACTCCTCCACACTTAACTCTTTGCTTGTCCTCAAGCAAACAAAACAACAAGCAATTCGAGAAGAAAGATCGAAAAGTCCAAAGTTAACAATCATGCGAAATGAAACTCTCTTCTTCCTCCGGTTATCCATAAAACTCAACTCAAATTTGAAAACGCGGTCCACACAAAATGAGTTCAAACGAAACAAAAACTCATCCCAAGATATTATACATATGATTTACTTGATTCAAACTTCCTTTTTACAAATACACATGCAAAAAGCTAGAAACTGTTTACTCAATATGTAGGAAACAATAAGAACCAAACCAACAAGTCCAATTCCCTCTTTTTATTATTTTTATTTATTATGAGTCATTTTTTTTTCTAAATGAGAGTCGTTAGGTCGATAATTACCTAGGTTTACCCTCAGGGTTTGTTCTCGAATGTCCTAGGCCAGTTTCCCATACTCATTGACCCAATCTATCTCGAGTAAGACTATTCGAAACAAGCGGAGTCTAGTCCTTTCAGCTCTCACGAGCTCATTTGATTACTTTTTTTTTTTCCGTGAGCTACATTTTCCAAACAAGCTTTCTGGATGATTATTATCTAGGTTTAGCCTCGAGGGTTTTCCTCGAGTT